CAGCAGTTTATGCGGCTGTGGTGTCATTTAAATCCAATCACTGTCTAAAACAGGTCGTTATTGCAGGCACCTCCAGCCAATTTTTAGTCAGTTCCACTTGTTAGCATTCCTTTTTTTTTAACATACACTGGTCCCTGAGTCTGTCTGTCTGTCCTCTTTGTTAAATGTCTCACATGTTGGTAAACATGCATGTTTGCCTTATTACTAAGGGTTCATATTCATGTCTGTACAGCAGTTAATTTGCTCATGTTAGCACAAAGACTGTAAATGAAACAGCAAACCCAGCTTCATCTAAAGCTAACCCATAGATCCAGAGACCAGCCCTTGTCATTTTCACTTTAACAATTTGTAGTTTGTTTAAGATCTGTAATATTTTGATAGAAACCTTTCGCTAAAATTGTGATCTAAGGCTTTGGGAAATACTTAAAGAACTCCAGCTCTATCCATGCACTTGTAGTTGATGAAAGAAAGTCGAGGTGCTTCCTTGCCTCTGTGATGGTATTTTGATTAATGTGAGTTATATTTTACTCCGTTGTTAAGGTCAAATAAAAAAACTTGAAAAGGACACATGTTTATCTTACTGTAGGTTCCAGAGGAGTGCAAGGATTAAATCAAATTCTAAAAAATATTTTTATACTTTTTACATTTTTAAATTATCTAAATTGCTGGCGTTATATACTTTATTTATATACTTTCTCTAAAATCAGACTTTCTTATAAGATATAAAAGAGTGAACCATCTGTATGCTGAAAATCAACTGTGAAGTCAATCTTTTCATTTCAAGGCACAAAAGCCCTTCCTGTCTTTTCAGCAACTGAGTTAATGTCACTCATTATTTGCCCCCAAAAATCAATTGACTGCCTTCGGTTTCAACAAAAAAACGCAGCCATCAGAAGGGCACTAACAGGATGATGGCACATTTCCTCATGTTGGCTTCTCTGCACTGGTTACATGTGGCCTTTAGAATTGATTTTAGCATTTTACAGCTTGTTTTTTAAGGTAGAGCTTGCCTTGGGCTGCAGACAGAGGGTAACAGGTTATTTGATGTCTAATGGGAGAGGCTTCTGCAGGCGATAGGAACGTTACAATCTATAACTTGTTACTCAAGACCTGCTATTAGGATATTAAAGGTAGTTCTATTTGTATTTTTCAAATAGAAAAAAAAATGAATTGAAATCTCCCTCCATGGCATGCAAACACCACTTCTCCTCTCCTTGGTCTTTAGTGTTTATATGTGGCCAGTCTCTAGCCACATCCAAAAAATGCAGAATTCATCTGAAGAAAAATGTCCTTCCTGACCACTGTAAATATTAAATATGGAGGCTTCCACAAACCAAAAACCTGCTCCTATGTTTTTTAATGGATTGACAATAAGTTTGTCAGAGTGCATCAATTTCTTGATATAACAGACATAATTACACAGTAATCTATGCATATTTATGAACACAGTATACTTTTTTGTGTGTTGTCAGCGTTAATCTCATTAAAATGACATTAACGCCATAACCGCATTAATGCGGCAAATCTCTGTTAGCGAGTTAGTGCAGATTGGCCCATGCATGGGGCTGCACAGCATCAATGCGTTAGTGCAGTTAGCTCGTTAACGCCGTGCAGCCCCAAGCACGGGGCGATCCATGCTAACTCGTTAACTGAGATTTTCCACGTTAATGCGGTTATGGCGTTAATGTCATTTTAACTAGATTAACGCTGACAGCACTACTTTTTATATTAAATAACCTAAGAATTTATTGAACCCACCTTTATGAACTTGGCTGATACATATCATTCTAATATAGCAGCTTTCTTCTCCATCAGTTAAATGCAGTGTTGAATTTTCTTGGTAATTTTAAACCTTCATTATTTACGTTCATGTTTTCACCCACAACAGGGAAGAAGAAGACAGCTGTGGTTGTATAACTCCCTTCCTTGTTATGTAGTGCTTGTAGATCAGAGGAACCGTGTAAAGCCATTAGTAGGGATGTCTGTGGCCTCACTGGTGTGCACATGCACTCAAAATGGGAATGTAGTATTGAAAAACAACTTCATGAAGATCAAAAACTAACATTTCAAAGCTGTACTATACTGTACTGTACTGTATGTGTGCCTCCTATTATCAAACAAACTAGGAACAATTACCTTATTCTGCACTGGGATATCTTTATGATTTACTTTTAGTCCACATTATTCCCATTTTGGTTCAGTCAGCATTCTCATAAAAAATCTCTGGCTAAAATTTTCATCTGTTATAGAGACAGACTTGCTGGATGACAGAAGAATCAATATTGGACTTACACCAGAACACCTCTTCACCTAAAAGCTATTGCCTGGTGCATATGTACTGGTTATGGTTCATGGTAACACCTTGCATGATGCTAAAACCATTTAGACTTGTGCTTGAGTGCACTCAACTTGTTAATGTACAAGTTACAATTTTCTCTGGATTTTATGTTATTAATTTTTCTTTTCATTTTTTAATTGCATCATATGGCTCAGTAATGTGTATAGACAGTGTTTGGAATCCAGGGACAGCTGCAACAGTACAAGTTCTGACAATGGGTCTGAGCATTATATCTCCATACCTAACAGCATTTAGAGTATTTATTGGCTAGCCTATGGAGGTTTATGTCCTTCAAAGACATGCCTCCTCAGGACCTCATGGCAACCTCTCTGAGTCTGTTTCTGTCTGGTCAGAAACATGCACACGTAGCCTACTGGAGTTTTTGTAGGTCAGTGCAAGTGGCAATGCTCCTCCTGTTTTTCCTGGTACAATTCTGCTGCTTGACTGATGCCCTTCTACAGCCCTGTCCAGCTCCCCTAGTGTTATGACCAGTTTTCCGATATTTCCTCCACACACTTGAGATTGTACTGGGAGACACAGAATACATTCTTGTGACTGCACTTTCGAATGTGCAGGTCTAGAAGGCGCTCGACTAGCTATATAATCTCAATCGGATGCAGGCGCCATCTCATGTTTGCAGACTAAATCAAGATCAAGTGTTTCCATGTGGTCAAATGTTTTTCGACAAAAGCCTTTGAGTCAGATATGGATGGCAGTGATTTTGAAAGAGAAATATGAAAAACCCAGGGTTTTAAGTAAAGACTGTTACTGTACCTTACACTGAAAACATCAGCAATAAAGTAATAAAAGGCAGTCATTTTCTGTTGAATAAAGTTTTCCAGCTGATCAGTAACTCACAAGAGATACTGATCTGCTGCCATCTATAAGGAAAAAGAGGTTAAAGGCATCTTGAGTCCATGACAATCTGATCTTTTCATCTGGAGCAAAGAGCTAATAAATGAAGAGGCAACACAGGATTATTATGAGCATTCGGGATCAGGGAAAAGACACAAATCACTCCATAACACCAAAAGAAGAAACTCCACAATGGTTTTGAATCAAAATTCATATAAGGACAAAATGCAAAAGAAATGTGCTTCACACTAAATTGTTTACGCCATTTGAATTTCAAACCCCACATGCATAGTAGAAATGGGGGAAAAGGGAGAAAATATTTCTACGTTCTTATTACTGAAAAAACTTTTTGAAGCCAAAAACAGAGAAGACTCAAGTGAGCAATGAGGGTTAATGGAGTCACAGGAGATACTATTTATTCAATATTTATTTGAGCTATACGAGTTTGTTCTTTGAAATCCAGTCCTCCTCTTGATGGCTGAGGTACATCTCAAATTCTACTTTTTCGTTATAAAGGAAAGAAAAAGCAAAGCAGAAAAACAAAAGTCAGACAGACATGCAATGCATGCATGTATTGGTTCTTAAGTCACATGATCCGTGGCGATTTGTCACCACTGGAGACAAATTAGTCATCTAGCAAGTAATTATCATCCTAGTTCGAATCAGATGTGCCAGACAAACATGAACGCAGCAGGTCAAAAACAACTCCTAATCTACACGTTCTGTGATTATGATGGATGCAATGTTTCCACCTTAAATTTTTAGAAATACTCATGCAAATATTAGTGATTTTCACATAAGATCATGATTACGTTGGAAGCAGAAAATTATTATAACAATTTCATTTATAAAATTGTTTAAAACATGCTTTTCTATTTATGACAAAATAAATGTTTGTTAGAATATTGATGCAAATGTATACAGTGCAGTTTGATTTAAAAAATATATATTTTACAATTTAGATGATGTTTCTATTACATTAATAGTTTAGCTCTTTACAAAAATGCCAGCGTCATGTATAACTCACCATTTGCACAAAAGTCCATCTAATGTAAAATGAATTTGTTTACAACAAAATATGGAGGAATCTGCTCAGGTAACATTTGGGGAGAGTTAACGTATATGATGGTGTAGCAAGTAAAGCTCCCATTTCAACAGCATTTAACTATTTAACTATTAGCACTTACTCAGTAGATATATCAGCCATCTGTTTTCATTGAGGTAGTGACTAATGGCTAATTGCTAAAAATAAAAACCATTAGGCAGCAAACCTTATCAATCCTGCCTGCCTATAATCATAAGACTAAAATGTGTTATGTTTCTTTTAAACTCCCAGACTGAAGCTGAACAAGAGAATCTTAAAATGTCACAAATATAGATTGTACAGTTACTATCGTTTTTGGGGGGTTTTTATTGTTCATATTGTATTTGTATTCTAAGCTTTACACACACAAAATGTCTGTTACTCTGTAACTTCTAATTTAAAGGGGCAAAGATCCTTAATTCCCTTTCCTCAATGCTCAAACAAAGGCTACACTCATGATAAACCCTATGTACAGTCCCACTACTACAATGAAATAATTCATAAATGTACAAAGTGAATAAAAGTAAAAGTTAATAAAAAAAAAAAAAGTAAAAGAATTGATCTTATTTGATTGAAAAATAATTTTCAAATCTTTTAAGTCATGTCAGTATAAAAACAATGTGACTGAAATCGTGTTAAAATCACCCACACAGACACATTACTTCATGTTCCAACTCTCCTTGTGATAAGACAGATGAGGTTAAGCTGTGCGTTTGGACTCACCGTTTCCCAAACCGCCGACTGCATGAACAGACCCAAGTAAAGAAATGCGTCCGTCCATTTCAATCGGGAGCTTCCAGTGATAAGCATGCTCTGCGATGACATCTATGCTCGCTTTGCAAAGTGCATGTAGAAAAGTAGAAAAAACAGATTACAACAAACTATTTCCTCCTTAAATTTCCACGACTGTCAACACCCAATGAACTGAGCAGCCGGCTGACAGTTCGCCGGTATTAATGCCGCCCGGTCTCTCTCCAGTGTCCGGTGAGTGAGACAGTGCGCATTTACACGCAGAGAGGAGCCGGTGCTGGACAGAGCCAAACAGTTTGCGCTCCTCCCTGAAATGGAGCAGAACACACAGACGCAGATGCGCGCTGACAAGAGGGAAGACAGCGAGTGGAGTCTTCACGAGCAGGGAAAACGGTGTGTTTATAGGTTCGAGGTTTTTACTCTAATTGCATAAACGGATAACACAGGATAACTTTCAGGCTCCGTACTGCCATGCAGATGTAGCTCCTGAAAAATGTATGCACAAAAGTTTAAACCTCATTTTGCACTGAATACCTGTTTTAGGAAGGGATAAACATGTATTTAGAGTTGTTAAGATTTAAATTATGGTTCTGTTTAAATACCCAAATAGTACAAAGGTTTTGCATCAAATTGTACTCCAAATACCCAAAATAAAAGTTCTACAGAATCATATCCATAATATTACTGAATCTAGTTGCTTTTTGAGTATTGTGCGTATCACTTTACAATCCCCATTCCAAAAAGATAGTTCAGGCTGTAAATAAAAACGCAATACAATGATCTGTAAATCTCATAAACCCATATTTTATCCATGATAGAACATAGAATGTTCTAACATATTTCAATCAAACGGGGAAGCACTGTATACAACCGTGCCTCTAGAAGTACAGCAGGTTGTTTACTAACTGGACTGATGGGGGTTCCAGCCCTGGCTGCTCCAGTCTGCCTGCAAAAGTGCTTCTGTGCATATCAAACTGTTACAGACTGCCAAAATCTCACTGCTTTTATTTTGTTTGTGTTTTGGTTTTTTGCTTTAGCTTGTGAAATGGAACGGTGATCATGTCTGGATTCCATCTGAAATACAGACCTGAAGACAAAAAATTACAGTACAATATTAAATATTAAGTAAAACAGAATATATACAAAGTGTCTTTGCAGAGTATGAGATGCAAAAAATGTTTGCATGTATCAGTGTTTGGATAGTTTTTTTCGTCTTTTTTTTTTAATTTATCGATTTGTTTCATTATTTTGCAGAGATCTAGTTTCTTATTCAGTCTGTTCCTGGTTTCAGTTTATTCCTTATGTCCCCTTGTATTCTTGCTTCCCTTATGTTTCCGTATCTGTCTCATCTGTTTTGTCCTGTAGTCTCATGTGTGTAGTCAGTCTTGTGTGTGTTTACCTTTTGATGTTTAGTCTGTGTTTCTATTTCCCTCAAGTTCAGCCATGGGTCTGTCTCTTGTTATTTTCTGTAGTCATTTGTCCCTCTGTCTCATCTTCCCTGATTTGTTCTCTTCTGTGTTCCCTGATGTCTTAATCTCATCCATACTTGTCTGTCTCCCATTTCCCTTGTCTAGTCCTCCTGTTCTCATCTGTTAAGTTCACCATACTTTCTCATTCAGTCATGTGTTTTCTGTTTCCTCTGTCAGTCATGTCTGTTTTCTTTTTTGTCTATATCAAGTTTGTATGGCTCAGTCTCTGTCTCAGTTTTCTGTATTATTTTAATAGTCCCTCATACTGTGTGCACTGTTTTCAGTTTAACTACCATTGTCTCGCCCCTGCGGTTAGTGTCAGCTGAGCTCCCACCTGTTTCCTCTTCCCTTGTTACCTGTATGTATGTGTCTCAGTCTCCCTTTGTCCTTTGATGTGTTTTCCTTCATACCTATATACTGTGTGTTCCTATATCCTGAGGTTTTTTTTTTCCTTTTTGTTTCTAATTTCTGATTTTTTTTCCCTGTAGTTTCCTAGTTTCTTAGTCCTGGCTTCCTGTCCAGCTTGCATTGTTAGTTGTATAATTCATAGATAGCTAGATAGCTAGAATCTTTATTGATCCCACAAGCAAAAATGTGGTACAGCAGCATGATAAAGAGAAAAAATGTACAGTCTACTAGTACATAACAACACCTGCATTAAGGTATAATACAAAAATCTGTTTAGGATCTTGGAAAAAGAAATAGAAGAATGTGATTCTCACAATGCCACCAATACCATCCAGGTGAAGAGTGAGTATGCTGCAACAGGTATATAACAGTATCACCTACCCCCACAAGAGACTGGCAGGCAAACTGAAGACTTCTTTTGCAAGCTAGGTCAAGCAATAAACAGTCTCCCCAGCACCTTCATGACATGTGACTTCAAAGCAACTGGTCTGAAGTCATTAAGGCCAGAAGAGGTGGCTTTCTTTGTCTTCCATAGTGCTGGTACTTTTTCCTGCAGTAGACTCAGGTTTGATTGCTCAACAGGTTTTTGAGAAAATGGTGAGAAGCTTATTTATTTATGCCTCCTGGGGTACCGGCTGTAAACAAGGGCCCTCCCAAAGCCTCTGTCTTGAGCCATTCAGTCTCATGCAAGGTGTATCACAGTTGCTCGGTATCCCTTTTGGGGGCATCTTCACCATGCATTCTTTGGCCTTTCTATTTTACTCCTTTCTTTCAGGTTCTATGTTAGGACTTGTCTGGTAATGTTGTTGCCTTGTTTCTTGACTTGTCTTATCCATCTCCATCTTCTTCATCCGATCACTTCCTATGGAAGTACTTTGCTTTCTTTCCCCCTGTGACTGCAGATCTTGAAATGTTTAAATATGAAGCATTTATGTGGAACAACAATTTTGTTAATTTTTTGTTGTTTTCCTCCTGATTACCTTTTGCATGTCCATCTTTATTTTGACTGTCATAAATCACAACATGTTGGCACCCACGCAGAATACATCACAACTCCTGAGTTATATACAGAGTCAAGGCAGACCTTTTTACAGTAAATTATAATATCTGTCATATAGACCTGCATTACTAAATGAAAAAATGACTGGGCCAAAGTTTTTGTCAGCCATGACAGCCATAAGAGGTGTGGCCTCTTTTGGAATCAAGTTAACCAGCAGCGCAGACCGATTACAGTCATTTACCTGCAGTCATTACCTAAATGAATGTTGCCTTTTATTTAATTTGGGTGTTGTTTTGTTTTGCTTTAAGGCCTATTTTACGATTGTTTAAGGGCTTAAAAATGAAACCCACCTTCCTGGAACTCCAGTGGAACAGAAACAGAAAACAAAAGCTCTGAAGGACTTCAGTGATCTGACAGCAGCATAAAATAAGAGTCTCACTGTTTTGTTTTGTTTTAAGTTGTTTAAAACTCTATATGCAAATCAAAGAGTGCTAAAATTCATTCTGAGAGATGTGAGTAGACTGGGCGATGTCTTAAGGAGCAGGGTAATGTGATCCTTTTCTGCAGGTTTCTTAGTGACTTTTTATTGAACTACCACAGTCTAAATGGCATTTGATAAATGTGTGAATAAGTCAATGAAAGAAAAAGAGAAAAACAACTTGTTCTTCGTTGATTCAGAATGTCAACTGAAAGGAGATTTTAACAGAGTTCCAGTGCACAAAGCCTTCTTTGCAAAGATGAATGCACATTTGAGAGTTCAGTGATGTAAAAAGAACAGGCACTGGTCTGCATTGATGTGGAGAGCACATGAGGCAACTCAGTGGTTTGATAAGTGCAAACATAATGCAAATCATATATAGTAGCCTTCAGAATCTAGATCTCACAGCTAAAACAAAAATCTAAAAGGGACTGGTTAGATTGTTGTCTCCAACATCATTGGAAGGATGGTGTTTAACTCACTGGGATGGACACTCAGAGAATCAAGGAGGACTGAATCTCTCTTGACTGAGACACTATTTGTATTTTATATATTTATTTTTAAATTGTATTTTGGTTTCTACATGTTGTAATTGAGTCTTATGTTGTCCTTCATCACTGCACAATGAATCCAGTTGGTAGCATAACACAACTCCAGAACAAAACTAAAAACCCTGTGTCAAACAACCAGGACCCTGACAAAATCAGTTACGAAATATGGGAGAAATAAACTTGTCTTATTCATTTTTATCAGAATATTCTTGCAATTCCAAAGCTAAAAACTGAAAAATTGAAAGTGAATTTTCATGACAAATTTTCAAAATACAGTTTGAAAGCAAATAAGTGCGCATATTGCTCCCACAGCATGTTAATGTGGACTTGTCGACTTCTCATGTGGACCGTCATTGTGTATTCAAAGCAATGACTGAATGGAAGCTCAAGCAGTTTAATCAATATGATTAAATGCAGTGTGGCATAAACACACAGAGCCCTTTTCCACTAGTACCTACGCGGGTCTCTGTTTTTCGGGTTTTCAATTAGGTGGTAGTACCTGATACCAGCTACTTTTTTAGTGCCTACTCAGCCAGGGTTCCAGTGATCTAAGTGATCTGAAAATTGGGCAACAACAGATTGCATTCTACTGATTGGCTAATCAGTGGCATTACTTGATGAGTCATGAGACAGACTGCTTGACGAAAATAAAAACCATTGTCAATCACTGTCACTGTCAAACCCAGCAACAAGGGAAATGGCTACATAAAAACTGACACCATGATCCCAGAGTCTGACAAAAAGCAAAACACCATGCAGCAGTTACACCATCGTTTCGGTGTCCACCATTGTTGTAGTGTTCAAGTCACATACAAATGAAGCCTCGGGACTTTCGGTCACATTGCAATAATGACCCTACACTCACAGAGTTGAGTCACATTGAGTCAAGCTGAGTAGGGACTAATGGAAAAGACCAAATAATGAGTGAAAAAAAGTGAGTGAAGAAGAAACACGGGTATCCTGGGAAGCCCCTAGCAGGCTAGGATTATTGCAGCATAACTAATAAAAGATTCAGGGTCACCTGACACAAAAATCAATCCACAAATGTCTCTTCTCTGTGTCTTCTCTGTAGGTATACACAGTACTGTGCCACTACAGCCATACCCATAAGCCTAAGGCTGCTG